ACTGTGCTGCTTTTATCATGTTACGTCTTGCTGATGGCTTGTGTAGGAATGAGTATTTTGTCCAGCTCCTTGCTGCAACCAGCTGTGTGTGATATAACTGGTGCTAAAATTCCCTGAAAATAAAAGCCATCTGAAGAGCTATGATTATGAGAAGAGAAGAGAGAGGCACTTATCCTACTGAGCTTGCATAACTGTTGTACTGCAAAAGTTGGTTTGGTTTTTTTTCCTGAAAGGGCTTATCACCTTCAACTCACTGCAGAGGAAGCTCTGGTGCCTCTTGGACGAGGCACTAGCCTTTCCAATGCTCAAAGTTCAACCAGACAAATTCTGCAGGGAGGAGGGTTGGAATTTACAGTTTTTTGTTTGTTCACAGTTAATGTGTGTTCTGTTCTCTTCACAAAGGCATAACTGGTCCTTAAAAGGTGAAAAGCACTTGCTTGTTTGCCCGAGGCTGGCTACTGCCTTCTGAATCAGCTGGCACCCTGAAAGGGAAGGAGGGACCATCTCTTTCCTGAGGGCAGTGGAGCATGTAGAGCTGCAGAAATAAAATGCTTCATGAGTGCAGGGTGGGGAAAGCAGAGGTGGTAAGATCAAGTCAACATAAAGCCTTCAGAAAGAGTGATGAACAAGGAATGCCAAGAAAAGCAAGGAGCAGGCATGCAGTCAGGACATGGATAGAGAAGGAAAACTTTTAGTGAGAGCTTAGAGGGGAATGTGCAGTCTGTTGCAGCCCAAGAGATCGTCTGAATGCTGCTGGCCTGAAATCAAACTTAAAAGAATGAACCTGCCCTGTGAACACACTGTGGGTAAAGATTGATCACAAACTTGCTTATTTTTATTCTGCTTCATTCAAGAGGACCAGTAACAAATTTTCAAGGGTCTCTTGTTCTAGTTCATGTTCAAGAAGAACAAAGATGTAGGGTGTAAAAGTTCTTTTGTGTGTTTTTGATCCATTCAGAGTTTGTACTGTTTAAGGGCAGTGGTCTTTTAGCCTTTGTACATATCCAATTAAGTATTCAAAACAGATACTTAAAAAAAACTGGCCAAATTTTCTTGAAATTTGCAATGTTGGCCAAATTTTTTCAAAACCTGCAGTTTTGGCTGGAAAACATGTTACTGTTCTATATAACTTCCCATCCAGGCGATGAAAAAAACATCATTTTGGAGGAAAAACAGTTAATGAGCTTTGCTTATGAATATATTTATGATTTTTCATACTGATTTTGACATATTAGTGACATTGATGACACTTTTGTTTCCCTTCTATAGAAATTGAAAGACTTTAGAATTGTGCTGAGTCCTTCACACAGGCAATGTTGCACTGGACAGAGTTAAATGACAGAGAAACATGAATCTTCAAGGTCTAGCTGTAGATCAAAGCCCAGCCTATAAGGTGTGATCAATTAGCCTGCTGTATAAGACCAAAGAGGACTAAGCCTTTTGATGTAGCAACTGTGGTTTGTTTTGCCACAGTGTATTCTTTGTGTGAGGTGTCAGTTTTGTGTCATCCCCATTTACACATGCACATGCATTTCCAGCACACACAGTCTCCTCTCATGTATATAGCAGAGCTGTAGCTGCTCTTAACTCCTCCATCATCCCACTCTCAGCTCCTTTCAAAAGGTTTTTGAAAACCAGTGCACAAAACACATAACCCAGAAACTAAACTCAGCAGAAAGCTTAAGAAAAAGAGGTTTAAAAGGGGGTGATGAGGTGTAGGGGCACCAACCCAAACCCCACTATTAGTATCTCCCTGTTGTTGCAGATGAGGCTCTATAAATAAAGTGATTGGGAAGCTTCCTGTCATGGACTAGAAGAATGTATAGTAATACTTGCTATGAGGAATAAGTTCTGTAAGGCATTCTCTTCCTCCTTCCCTGAAATGTTCCAAACACTTCCAGCCATACATACACAAGGGCACCTATATATGAGCTGTACAGCTCTTTGTAGCTCCATCTTTTACTGAGGCCTTGTTTCTTCATGGTTGCTCAGCAGTGTAGTAAGAAAGTGACAGAAGAATAAAACTTTGGAATGGACAATTATTGTACTTTTTGTGGCTATGTAAATATAAGCAGAGACTGCTTCATTCTCTGTGGAGAGGAGAGGAGAGGAGAGGAGAGGAGGGTTTGATGAGGAAGATGGGTCAAGGGAAAATGTGAAAGTTTCATAAGAAGCAGCACTTTTGGACCTGTGGGAGGATGGAACAGTTTGAGCAGAAGAGTTTGACAGATAGGAAATAAACAGACTCTGAAATACCAAGCTCTAGGTTTTTAGATATGAGCTGTTTCTTGCTAAGGTATTTCCAAAGATTTCATAACCATGATAATTTTTCTAATATACCCAATCTTTCATTAAAATAATGGAAAGGCTACTGCTATTGCTAGCTTCCTGACAACTAGTTGTTACTGCAATCAACAATTGTTTGAAAGAAAGCTTGATTAAAGCCTCACATAGCTGCAGTTAACTAGCATGTGACTTCTGTTTCTCCTGCAGACTTCCTTATCTCAAGCCTTTAAGAAGGACTATGTAGAGGAGGGTTTTTTCTTCCTTGGGGCTTTTTTTTTTTTAAAGTGAAACTCTTGAACTTTCCTCTGAAGCAAAATTCATTTGATGTTGAGTGTTTCTTATTCAAATATCCTTGACACCCATATCAAAAGATCTTGTATAACCTGTGATGTACACACAGTAACAATGAGGAACTGAAACTTCTCCTCATATCATGTATTGGGTTATACACAGTCTAAGCATTAAACCAGTTTAACTGTCTTTTGGGTTGGTAACAGATCATAATAATTCTTAATTTTTATGACAGGGAAATATCTAGGACTTGCTGGGCTAAGAGAAGATCTCACCCTTCAAATCCAATTGTCTTAGTTTAGTAGTGAGCCATGACAAACAGTTGAAGCTGGGAAGTGGGTAAAGGGTGTTGTCAGATAATGCTCATGAGGTCTTTTGGGACTGGCTTAAAACATTCACTGCCATTCCAGAGGAGAGTGTGCATTGTGCAAGTGGTTCTCATCTGTATCTATGCAAAGTTTTCTAGTTCAGCCAAGAGCTACTGATGAAGTCACTTTGGACCCATTGACACTGAAAGTTAAGAAATGCTTGGACAATCCAGTCTGATGACTTGGCTGTGGGAACAGTAACCTCCAGCTGTGACACTGAAACAAACACCTGGGAGTGGCACAGTGAAACCAAACTGGCCACTTCCAAAGTGATTACACCCTAATGTACCCAGTGTCTCTTCAGAAAGGGACCAGTGTAGGCTCTGTTGGCAAGGAAAGAATTCTTTTCTTTGTTCCATGAACTGTACCATGAGCTTGTCATTCACCTGTCCCCTCACAGGCACTCGAGGGAGAACATTCTAAGGCTTTTAGGGAGGGAAAACTGAGTTAGTGCCATCACCACTGAATTTAACTGTGCATGAGGTGGACTTGGAGAAGAGCCTCTGGGGTGCTGGGAAGAGAGGTCAACAAGTGTGGCACAGGTGGTATAGGAAAGGCATTAAGAGACAACACTTCAAGGTAATAGTGCAGAGAAGTAGAGCAGAACTGCATTAAAAGAGCATGTGGAGGGAAGAGCCAATGAAGGCAGTCCTCTGCAGTATAAGATGGGAGGAATACCATAGGAAAGAGGTGGGGGAGGCATGTGATCTCAGGACCTGAGTTATCTGCTGCAAAAAGACTTCTGAGAGGCCTAGGAGGTATTTGGCATTGTAGATGAAGCAGAGTACTAAAATGTTGATTTCAAAGAACAGAGGAAGATGTGGAGAGAGTCTGGACTGATCCTTAGAGGGGATCAGATGTTGGCACTAGTCACAGTGTCGGAGAAGCGCCACAGAGGAGAGGTCTGAGAGGCTGTTCAGTAGCTGGATTTCACAAATGTCAGGTTCTGAGGGAAGTAGTTCTGTGTTAGGGGAGGCAGTCTGCAAGGTAACATTCTGGTGTCTGCTCACTAAAGACAGCACATCCTGTGCTTGAGAGCTGCAAAGGTCTTAACATCAGCTCATTGTGTTAGTACAAGTGCCAGTAAGGTGCACCTGCAATATGAAGGGTCCTGTATTACCCCGAAGATGGCTTGATTGGCCCAATTTCAAGCAGGTAGTTTTCATAATCTTGGTCATGTTTTTTCAGCAGTTGTCTACATGTGTAGTACAAGCTGGAATTTCTCTCTTCATAGAATGGTTTGGTTTGGAAGGGACCTTCAAGATCATCTACTTCCAACCCCCCTCCCATGAGCAGAGATACATTTTACTTGACCAGGTTGCTCAAAGCCCCATCCAACCTGGCCTTGAATAATTCCAGGGTTTGGGCACCCACAGATTCTCTGGGCAACCTGTTCCAGTGTCTCACCACCCTCATGGTAAAGAATTTCTTCCTAATATTTAATCTAAGCCTACCCTCTTTCGGTGTAAAGCCATTCCCCTTGTCCTGTCACTACCTGTCCGTGTAAGGTCACTCTCCAGCTTTCTTGTAGCCCCCTTTAGGTACTGGAAGGCTGCCATAAGGTCTCTCTGGGGCCTTCACTGCTCCAGACTGAACAGCCCCAACTCTGTCAACCTGTCTTCATAGGAGAGGTGTTCCATTCCTCTGATCATCTTCATGGTCCTTCTCCAAACTTGCTTCAGCATGTCTACATCCTTCTTATGTTGGGGGCCCCGGAGCTGGATGCAGCACTCCAGGGAGAGTCTCACCAGAGCAGAGCAGAGTGGTAGAATCACCTCTCTTGACCTGCTGGCCACACTGCTTTTGATGCAGCCCAGGATGCAATTGGCTTTCTGGGCTGCAAGCACACATGATTGTATCATGTCAACCTTCTCCTCTGCCAACAACCCCAAGTCCTTCTCCTCACGTCTGCTCTCGACCTATCTTTTCTTTTACAGTGTACTACATGTATTTTAATAGCAGAATAATGTTTTACTTTATAAGATTCTGTTGCACCCATGATACAAAGGAACAGTGTGGTTCACAAAGGTCTTCTGGTTTGCTTGTGTTCAATAGGAAATAGCCCGTAAACTCCGACCTGGAACTCTGCGTGCTGTCTTTGGGAAGAACAAGATTCAGAATGCTGTTCACTGCACAGACCTTCCTGAGGATGGACTTTTGGAGGTAAGACTTGCTGGACAAACATGTGCTCTTATATCACAGGAAGTTGTAAAGTGAAAAGCTATTACCAACACTGTTTTAAGCTGATAAGTGTTTTTATATGTGGAGTAGCTGTGTTGGAGACCAGATTAAACACAAAAGCAGAGAGTTTATTAATGGCATTTAACTAAGTTAATTCTGATACTGTAAAAACGTCATCCATGTATGTTCTTGAATGAATATAGTTCAATGAAGTATTTAAGGAAATGAAAGTCAAGAGTCTTTGTCGGAATGTGTGCTTGGGACTGAATATCAGCACCTCATAGTGCTTCTGCAGGTTCACCTTCTTAGCCCTTTCTTGGATGACAACCATGAGTCCTGATCTGGATTGTTTCTACAGTGAGCTAGTATGAGGCTTGGAATATTATAGGCACTAGGGATTCAAATTTTCCAGATGAGGTCCAGATTTATTTGTAGACATTCATACTTACGCACATTGGATGGGATTTCCTGTGTTTTATATTAACTTAATAATTATTATATGATTTTGGCTTTGTATGCTTTCATTAAAGTCCAATAAAATGGGAAAATGCTAAATTAAGGCAGTGTATGAAAACAGAAGTATTCACTATGAAAACCAGAACAAGCTCATTCACTTAATTCCATGCCTCAAAACTAAGGTTTGTACAAGGAGGTTGAAGTGGTGTGTAAGTGTATCTTGGATGGATCTCTGCATCAATGCAGGTGTTTTTCCAGTGTATGCATAGCTTATGTTTTACTGTCTACATTTCTGTATTTGTGAGTGGTTTGCTGTCAGACTATAGCAGAATGATGGAGCAGCAAGAGTTGTCTTGGCTGGGATAATTTTGCATTGCTCAAATGGTGGTTTCACTGGGATGTCAGGAAGAGCTAACTGCATCACCATCTCCCTTCATGAAATAAAATCAGACCTGTGGGTTAAAGTGCTGTTTGCTTGGAAATCACATCTAGTTTAAAGCACAGGCTAGTGAAATTCAATACTGAAAATGGCAGCCAGTATCAACAAAGTCACAGCTTTTTAAAGCATTTCCAATGTGTTATTAAAAGTTGACCAACTCCCAGTTCCTTCCCAGATGGACTAGATTTAAACAAGCAAACAAGTATTTGTCACCTCATGCCTGACATCCCTCAGTCAGGGCTATTTTAGAGGCATAGCCTGCAAGGGAAAAATTAGTCTCACCAACATTCACAGAACATTGTAATACTCCATCAGAATTTTCTTTCTCTCTCTCTCATGTCCACAGTCTGTCTCCTTTATGCTGGTGCAAAGCACATATAACCCTGTTTTGCTGGTTGTTTAAATTGAGTTTATAGCTACTATAACTGAGGCAGGAATTGCTTCTCCAAAACAAAAACTGAGGCTGGATTTGTTTCTCAAGGTCTTCATTATACGTGTTTATCCTTTGAATCCCACAGCTGAATCATAAACTGAGTTCTTGATCTAGTATTACTCTGAATATACACCTTGCAGTTCCCATTGCAGTCTGATCATATTAAGTCATTTATTGGTTGTATTTTTTTTGGGAGAGGGATCTAAAATCTTATTTTACCATAGGCATAATTGTTGACAGAATTGGCTCTCCATCAGGCAGCAGTTTCTTCTGTAACAGCCCAGGTTAAGCCAGCAGTTCTAAAGGACATTGCTCAATGTTCTTTAGTGGGTAGATAAAGCAGTGAATGTTTCATTCTGATCTTTTGACAAATGTGCATTATAATGTAAAATACTGAAGCCTTTGTACTGCTAACACTTTAATTCTTGGAGTATGGTTAGATCTGTGTTCCGTAAGAAACATAGTTGCCTGAAAATGTAGGTAAGCAAAGTAACTATAATCTCTGGATTTGCTTAAGAGCCAAGGGGTTGTTGCAGCTGATGAAAAAGAAATTATACAGAGATCATCCTTGGGAAGGACTTTTTCCTCAGTGAGATTTTCTGTGAGAGGACCTTAAATCCACTCACAGAGGTCTCATTTGCTGACAAGCAGAAACCAGACCTTTCTTCCCTCTCAGCCCCAGTTCCTCTAACAGTGCTGTATGTGCTGGGCTAGAGCAGAGTGACTGTGGGGCAGGAGGAAACCAAGCCAGACAAACATTTTTAAGAACTATGCTGTTCAGTACATGGTAGTCAGGGGTTTCATTCTTTAGTGGATAACTGAATATTTTAATATGAGTTCAACAGAGCAATTATCATTGGTCTTGGAGGAGGTGAATTCAGAGATAGGTGAGGCACTTGTCACGGGCCTTGGCTGTGTTGGCTCAGTGGAACTTGTGTCTTTCAATCTGGAGTTGGTGTTTGTTCATTATGTCCATGTTCTGGTAGGAGATGTTGCCATTCCTGAGATGTTAATGCTGCTGTTACCATAAAAGCTTTATGGTATCGTTGTAGGACAGCTGATTAGTAGAGGAGGAGTCTAGAGTAAATTTCAGAGAGAAATATGACTCACTAGATTAATACTACAAAGATGAAGGACCTTTTTTAAAACCTCAAAATAAATCCATCCCCAGCAATCTCTTTCCTTTCCCCCTGTGGCATTGGGTTTTGTACAGTGTTAGTGCTCTGCTGCAGGTCCAAAATTCGGCCTGTATGCAAATTCTTGCACTCTTGTTCTGCTGATGAAAGGTAAGTTTGGCTACCTGAATTCAGTCACAAGAGCTAGGAACTCCAGAGTTACATTTCTAACTCTGCAGCTGATTTTATTTGAGCTTGGCTAAGCCGCTTTTCAAATTTTGACATGAAAGTGTTTGGCTTTGAAATTATCTATGAAGATGTTTTAATTTACATTTCTCTTCTCCAGAATTAAATACTAATGCAACAGATTTTATAAAACAAGCTGGAGAATCATTACTACAAATAACGACACAAAATTTCTAACACTTTCTTCCCCCTGATTCCCACTACATGTATGTTGGTGGGTATTTTGGGGGGTGGGTGGGTTGGTTTGTTTCTTTGGGTGTTTTTGTGTGTGTGTGGCATTGATTTAGTTTGGGGTTTGTTTGTTGCTTGATTTGGCTGGTTTTTGGTAGTGGTGGTGGTTTAGGGTTTTTTTGCCTTATTTTTGCTTTTGTTTTCCTCCTCAGAATAGGAAATAGCATAATTACTCTTCTGAAACCCAGAAAGCTTTATTGGAGAGAGGATGCTGTGATGTAAGCTTTCTGAAATTCTTGGTGAACCAGAGAGTTGGGCCTCAGGGAACTTTCAGCCCAGAAGCAGGCAGAGCCAGTCCAATACACCATGAGTAAAGATATTTAATGCCTTTGTTTCAGAGCTTTTGTACAGCTTTGACCATGTTTGATGTTTGAGCCATCCTTTTCCAGGGGTTTTCATTTCCAGGTGTCCTTATTCCCAGATACTACATATCTTAAAATTTCTCCACCCTTCTCTGCAGTTTCCATCAGCCTCAGTTTCAGATCTAACTGAAATTTGAAAAGAGGTTTCAATGGCAGCTGCTGTCTGATTGTCCACAAATGGACACTTCTTGGAGGAGATGAGATAGGTAATTGAGGGTTAGATCAAATGTTTCCTGAAATTAACAGCCAAACTCTAGATGACTTTGGTGGTTTGCACTTAATTGCCTGTCACTACGAAGATCAAGGTTGTGACCTTTCTCTCAAAAATCATGACCAAGGAGTGCTCAGGGAAAGGAGAGAGAGCAACACTGTCTTGGGAACAGCGAGGACTAATTAACTAAGTAAGGGTCAGTTTGTGCACCTAGTTTAGAAAACTATATTTAAATAATGTAGTACAGCAGATTTTCAGTGTTTTTCTCTTACACCTCTTTGCCATGGACCTGGAAAAAAGGAAAGTTCACTTTTAATCTTAAAACCCCCTCAAACAAACAAACCAACCCCAAAAGCAAATATGAGCACTTACTCCCACCAGTTTGACCCTTAACTCCTGTCTTTGTTCTACAAACTACTTCACATTTTAAGCAGTGACTAAAGAATATCAGAATTAATGAATAACTCACTCTGGCTCAAGAGAGGAGGGGCGATGCAGTTGAGCCTAACATGCAAATGGTCACAATGGAAAAATCAGTGTATTTTCAGTTGTAAAGCTATTGCTGTTTTTTTTATTCCTAGTTTACTGATACAGGGCAAGGGTGAATATTGCCCTGAAGCCTCTTAGATGAGTTGTTCGACTTAGTAGGTCAAGCACTTACTTATTTGCTTCATAGGCTTATGTGTCCTTGTGTCAGTACAAAATGTATTTTCACAAGTGACAATGGATAGACACAAATAGCTCAGAACAGTCCATTTTCTCAGCCTTGTCATCAGTTTCCCATTTTAATAAGGAGAGGAAAGGAGGTGGTAGAGAAAGGAGACTCATAGCAGTGGAGTATTTGTGAGATGATGGGGTTTCATGAGTGAAGGCTTAACAAGCAGTTTCTTAATTTTTCTAATCAACTGACATTCATTCAGAGCAAGGGCTTGCATTTGTTTTCCACATCCAAAGCAGATACTGCTCTACCTCTCAGGTTTGTTTTCTATTTTATGTAAAGCAGGTACTATTTAGAGCAAGCAATCACAGTGCACACCTGCATTCGTGTTCCTTCTGAGTCAGGTAAAGCAAGGACTAGAACATGCATATTTATATGCCAATGAACTGCTTTGTTTAACAGACTAGAGATGTGTAATGTACATGAGGTGAAAGATGATTCGGTTTCTCAACTCACTGTCTTTGACCTGAGGAACATTTCTGATAAATATCTTGTTGAAATAGAAGCCTGCAAACCATTGGAGCTGATGAACCATCTTTCTAGACAAAATAAGGTTTTCTTGAAATTGGTCATCCTGATGTACTGGATACAAGGTGTTGTATTTACCAGGCTTCACAGTTTGTGTGCCACCTTAAAGCAGAGAAGGCAAATCAAAAATCAGTCAGCGAAGTCTATCTTCACACCACTGGAAGTACAGTGAGTAAAACTTCCCACAGGAGGTGGTGCTGTACACACACTTCAGTTTGCTGGGTCTCAAGTCATTGAGTACCT